CTCTAATTGTACTACTTAATAGCTGGACATTGTTTGCTCACAGATCTAGACCTATCTGTTGAATTCTTGGATACTTGGTTTGAAATACTTCTAGTACGTGTATTAGTAGATTAAGTGTTAAAATTGATGCATTTAACAGAGATATGTTTTTTCAGTTGATTCATTTTTATAACAGATAAATTTTAATTATTCTCAAAATAACAATAAATCAAGCCCAAATACTACGCAAATCAAGAATCCATTCAATCCTTTAGTCTTAGACCAACCACAAAGATTATAACATTCCATCAAATCTTATAATTCAAATGTCACTGTTGTTATTGTAGTATTTAATAAAGGTTCTTTGCAGTTCTTAAATGAAAGAGTTTAATTATAACAAATCTCAAACCTTCCATAATTACCAAAACAATCTTCATTATGTTTACATGCAACAATCTCTTCTGCACAATTCGTATCTACACAAAGTTATGCATCTTCTTGAGGAACAAATTTCTTTAAATTTGTTGAACTTAAACTTGAAGTAGTACCTTCATCTGTTATTTCTACTATATCAGGTTCATATTGATCAAAGTAATCAGCATCATCTTACCCTAACTAACAATAGCTTTTTTAAAGAAATAATGCAATTACAAGAAATTAAAGCATTTATATATATTACATACATATTTGAGAAATAAAGTTAGAAATCATTTTATCAAAAATTCTTATAACTCTTTCAAATATTGCATTGTTTATGAATACTGATCTTTTATAGTCTCTATCTCTTCAAATAAATTATTAAAATAATCTTCACGAATAACCTAAGTAAATAATAATTTATTATATATACTTAATTGACAGATTACTATAATTAACTAAAGTCATTCATTTATTAATTTAATAAATTATGAGTTTATTGTAAATTATAAGTAAGATTGTCTGTTTTTTATTTCAATACTTCTACTTCGGTTAGATTATCTTTAGATGTTATTCGCTCAACTTTTTTTTAGATTTTTATTGAAACATCCAAAAAAGATTTTAATGATTAATCAACCTAATAATCCATTTTTATGATACATGCTAATTATATTCAATAATTCTTTTATCTGTTTAATTTTTATGGGATTGAAATGCTTCATCAAGCTATTTCAATTTTAATTCAAATTTCCCTATTCTTTATAAAAGTAACGTTAGTTTCTCTTAAATTCCATTAAAGTAATCTGCACTTGATTTATTGTTTTATTAATACTATCTGTTAGTTTTTTCACTAAATAAATTGAATTAATACCTCATTTATAATCTTTCTTCAATTTATTCAAATCTCCTTTCAAATTCATTTAGTAACATAACCAAAGCTGAATCATTATTATTACTCTAATATTTATAAGCATTATCTCTAACAGAATCATATGATTTTTTTTAACATTCCTCCATAATACTATTCTTTTTTGAATTAAACCTATCATTTTCAATAGATTATAAATTAAAAGATATGCTTTAATTTTATGTTTTCATAGGGATTGCATTTGCCTCAATTGAATTGGTAAGTAAATATTAATCATTATAACTCTCATTTTAAGCTAATTATTTTTCAATTAATAGTAATTTTTCATCTAAAGTTCTGTTGTTCTAATTCTAATTTTCCTTTTGGGTTCTTCTATTTATCATTCTAAATTCATCAATGCTATTAGCTCTTTAATTAATTTTTGACATATTTGAATTTGAATACCTATTAATTTATAAAATCTCTAATAATATTTATCAAAAGCATAATATTATTCAAAACTAAATATATTACAAAAGAACTTTTTTTATTTTAAAAAAATAAAAAATACATAATATTTTTATTTTTAAAGATGATTAGAAATAGTAGTTCATATAGTATTTAAGAGTCAACTTATCAAATTTAAAAACCTAATTCAAATATAGACATGAATTGTATCAATAAACTATTATAAAAGCTTCAATGTGTTTAAGTCAAGAATTCTAATAAAATAGATCATTAAATAAATAGTATGCCAATAGATTTTTAGGTGAGTGGCATGAAGAAACATATCTTGTAACTAGAAAATATGTTCCTACATAGACAAAAGGATTAAATCTATATACTACCTATTGCACCCCAGAAAATCCTATTGCAACAATTGTTATACTTCACGGATATGGAGATCATTCTGGTAGATACTTTCATGTAATATGAGTCAATATAATTAGGTGGCTGATGAATATGCAAAATATGGGTTTTAAGTCATTTTATATGATTAGAGGGGATTTGGTAATTCTGGAGGTATAAGAAGTCATGCTGATATCAAATAAATGCATTAAGATTTAGAGTGCATTCTATTAACAATAGAAAGATCATAACCAATATTTTTATAATGTTAATCTCTAGGAGCTGCAGTTGGATTAAGTTTCTGTATTTCAAATCCATCAATAATTCTATAAGGAGTGATAGTAGTTAATCCATATCTTTAATTTGCAAAAAAATATGGATTTTTGAAAAAATTGTTGCTTACTATAATGAATAAGATCATTCCTGTATATATTTTTTAATTATTTCTTAAGGGTCTCATGGTTAATTCCTATATAGATTATGGGCATTGCAGTAAAAACAATAACATAATTAAGAGTGTAGCTGAGGATAGTCTTGTACAACCATTTATGAGTATTGGAATGGCTTATAATATATTGTAGTTAGATTCATATATTTTACCTAATGCTTACTAGTAAAATATTAAAAATTATTTTTAAGATTCACTCAACCTTTATTGATTTTACATGGAAAAGAAGACAAAGTAGCAAGTCATATGAATTCAGTAGAATTGTATCGTGAATCAGGATCTAAGGATAAGACATTAAAATTATTTGATAAAGGATTTCATGAACTACAAAATGATGTAGAATTTGAAAGAGTCAAAAATGTAATTATAAATTGGTGTTAAAAGTAAATTAATAAAGATAAGAGAATTAGTATTATATTTAATAGTTATTTTAGGTTATTTTAGAGCATTAAATCATGGATTAATTGCCAAGAACAATAATAGTTCAAAATTCTTAGTTCTTTCATGGATTTTTATTTATTTCATGTTAAAAAAGTACAAATTATTTAATTATTTATTAGTAAAATGAAAAATCTTGGAAAAATTGCTAAATCTATTTGTATTTTAGCATTGATGATCGCATCTCTTATTGTTCGTATTAGATGGTGATTATTGTTTAACAAAATTTTAATTTAATTTGTATATAATATAAAGTTAGAATAAACTTTAAATTTTTAAATGTTCCTTTAATCTCAAAGTATCAAATCAATGTATAATCTCAAATATTATATATGATAATTTTCATATAAATAAAAATAATATATTTAATATTTTTTATATTAGTTTGATATTTACATTTTTAATAATAATAGCATTATTTCTATTATAAATTGTTTAATCTTATTTATGTTATAGAATTATGATAATGAGAATGAACATTCATAAATTGAAGATAAAGAAAAATGTTTAATTTGTAGAAATTTGTTTTTGAAAGTTGAATTAAAAAACCATTAAGCTAGTTGTACGAATAATTTATCCAAAGATGATTAAGAGTATTTAGATGAATAATTAGCTTAATTAATTATTGATTAGAATTTTTAGTCTACTATTTTTTCAAATAAAAGTAAACATCAGAGTCAATAACAGCAAAAAATTTAACCTCCTCTATAAGAATAATAAAAAGAATATGTGATAAATCATTTATAAATAAAGTAATAAGAATCAAATGAGATTTCAAAAGAACGTTTAGAATCCAAAAAAATAAATGAGAAATAAATTGATGTAATTTTATTTTACAATTTATAAGTAATAATAGAAAGATGAATTACATATAAAATTTCCAAAAATATAATACCCAGATTACCTATTTAAAAAATAAGAAGAAGATTTATAAAAGTAGAACTCTGAACTTAAAAAAAAAGAAAATCAAAAAAATGACTAATAAATTAAAGATGAAAGTCAATAATATTTGAAGTAGGAATTAAAATAATAAGACTAATATGATTTACAGAATAATTTATAAAATGAATAACCTAAATTGATGTAAATAAAATAAAATTTGCCATTAAATTTAGAAATTCAGCAGAACTAAAATCAATTTGAAAAGAAAGATTAAATAGATAATTCAATATAAAAAATCAATCAGTTTGAATAAAAACATATATATAATTTTTAAGAAAAAACTGATCCTTAAAAAAATTAATTTTAAGATTAAGAAGTTAAAGTAGATGTAAAAGTTAATTCAACTAAAGAAAAATCTAATAATGAAAAAGAGGGTGTCAATGATAAGTTACAATACTAATGTCCTCTTAGATAGAGACCGACAAACTATTTATAAGATCGATACATTCCCTATTATAGACTAGCTAATATACCCTAGAATATAATTAGAAATCCTTATAATTATAATTAGGCTCAATAATAATAATAATAATAATAATAATAATAAAATGATTAGAATTAAAGAAATTTTATAAATAAATATCCAATTAATAATAATCATTAATTTTAATAACAAAATCAAATAAAAAAGTTTGAATTCAAACCTGGTATGAGACTCACAGATTGGGAAGTTAATTAATTAAGTCCAGAAGAATTTTATGAACATTTTACTTAATTAGACTTAGATTAATAGGTTGGTTACTAAAGCAAAATCTTCAAGTTAGATAAAAAAAGAGTATAAATTAATCAAACTGGAAATTGTGCAATTTGTATGGATGATATTTAGCCTTCTAAAGAAGTTAAAGATATTTAATTAGATTGTTCACATTAATTTCATTTTGATTGCATTAAATAATGGCTGTAGAAATAGAAAAATTGTCCTCTTTGTAAAGAATATGTTGATTTATGCTTAATATGAAAATATTTATAAAAATGTATCTTACTTATTATTTTAAAGAGTATTTCACAAACATGACGTACATTGATTTATACAAATTGGTACACTATTTTGAATAAACAAATTAATAATATAAATTTTGAAATTTAGATATGCAATAGATTTCTCCTGAGGTTGAGCAACATCTTTCTGAATTATTGAAGCCTATTCTTTAAAGAGTTGAAGAATTAAAAATTAGAGATCAATAAAATGAAGACTAAATCAATTCACTTGTTGAGGAATTGACTTAATTAAGACATTTAGTTAGCACCCTAAAGCCTTTTAAATAAGAGGAAGAGAAAAGTACAATTAATAATAAATATTATTAGAATAAATAAAGCAAGAATAAAAGAAAGATAATAATGGAAATCATGGTAAACAATATTATTATAAATTCAATTTTTTTAGAAAACAAAAAACCTGATCGTCCTTCAACAGGTGTTGTCTAAAAGAATGATTAAAATAAAGTCAAAGAGCCTAGACCTTAAACTGGTCAAAAATCTTTGAGTTAAAGTGTTATTGTAGATAAGACAGCTACAACTGAGGTGGATAAAGGTACTTATAATATATTATTATATAGTAACATTAAAATCCCCTAGAGATTCTACATAAAAACAACCAAAACCATAAGTATAACAATAATAACAATAACAACCCCCATAACCTAAACCAAAACCTTAAAAATAACCTGAATAGAAAGATACAAAAGATCATAAAGATCCTAAACCTCATGGTTAAGGTAAAAAGTTAATAATATATATAAGAACAACCTCAAAAGTAAGCATAACCTCAAAAAGATGAAAAAAAAGTAGAGAAGCCAAAATAAACTAAATAAAATCCTCCTGTTCATCCAGAGAAAACAGAAAAGCCAAAAGAAATTGCCAAAAAGACAGATAAACCTTAAGATTAGAAAGGTAATGGTTAATAAAAAAATCAAACTAAACCAAATGATAAAAAGGTAGAACCAAAATAAGATGATAAGAAAATAGTAAAAAAAGGAAAATAAACAACTGCTCAAACTGGAGATTAATAATAAACTGATGAACAATTTTAATAATAATAATAAGCTTCTTAAGTTAATTAAGAACCAAATTCAGCTGAAAAATCATCAAAAGAAAATCATTCAGATTAAAATGAATAATAATAGGAAACACATACAGAATAAAATGAATAATAATAATAATAAGAAAATCATGAAGAAAATACAAAAAATGTATAAGAAGTTGAATAGTAACATTAGGAGGAATAAAATTAATTTTAGAGTTAAGAATAAAAAGAAGAATAAGTTTAATAATAAGAAAATTAAAATTAGGATAATAATTAATCTTAAGAAGAACAATAAGGTTAATAATAAGAAGTAATTTGAGCTTATATAAATTATAAGTACAAAAATATAATGTATAAATATTATAATTAATTGCTATTTGATCAAACCAAATGTCAAGTGAAAACTAAATTACACGCTTTTCAGAATAAGAGTCTCTGATGGATTTAAAATCAGAAGTAATATTAAACAGTTAATTAGTTTATGAGAAGAATCAATAAGAACCATATGAAAATGGAATTATCTGAAAGAAAACATGATGATGGCTCTTTAGAAAAATCAATCAAATTAACTCCTATGACTATAGGAGATTTTATAGGAATATGGGCAATTGCTATATTAAAAAGTTTATTTCTAATATGTTTTCTTTTGATGGCTTATGAGACTTATAAAGATATTTAAGCGCACATTGATATTTCAAAAACTTAGGTTTTAATTGAAATGAAAAATTGTGCTGCAGAATATGAATAAAATCAATGTTCAGAAAATTACTTAATAGAATCTATGTCTTTAAGATGTAAAGAATTAGAAATTTGTACAAACTAAAATATTGAAATGAAAGTTAGAACACAATAACTTTGGTTACAAGTCTTAGGAAATTCATTTGAAAAAATGTTTAAAGAGCTTTCTCTTAAAAGTTGTATTATGATCTCTTTTATAAGCATAGCAACAAGTATTATTTTTATAAAAAACTGATTATTCATTTATTTCTTAATTAAATTAATACTAGAATTAAAATAATATAATATTAGCCCATTTGTATATATCAAACAAATTACTTTAAATAATTTCTATAAGGAACACTTGGTCTTCTAACACTATGACATAATAAAAGACTTGCTGTAAGAACATTTAAAGCATTAAATTGATGAATACTTCCTGAATGAACTTAAACCTAGTTTTAATAAATATACTTACTTAATTGAGCAATGCTACAATTCCTGTAAGTAATTAATAATTTAAAACTCCATAAAGAGCATAACAAATGTACCTAGCTTATTTTGGTAGATTGCTCTTATATGCGAGATAAGTAATATATGATCCAAAACAATATGTTAAATATGCAGCATTTCTATGATTGAATTAAACCCTTATTTATTAATAAATATTATTACATCACAACATTTTCAAAAAAGTTTTTATAAAATGGTGAGGCTTTAAATAAATTGGCTGGAACTATTTATCCATTCATAGTAGGCCATGTATTAAATACTTTTCCTGCATCTATACCTGCCATAGCTGCTCCAGTTAATAAATTGATAGCTACTAAATGAATCAATCCAATTCCAAGTCCTCTAAATTTAAGATGAGTTTTATAATTTTCTGGAGTTATTTATAAATGTTAAGGTTTTCTAAAAAGAGTAGCAGCATTCCAAATTAAAAGAGAATATAATGATAAAGCCATAGATAAATGTACAGTAAGTCTATAAGTTGATACTCTTGGTTTTTGTTAATATTCAGGTTTAGGACGATCTAATCCTGATTTGACCATCCACCATCCAATTAAACCTTATAATAATCCAAGTCCTCCTATGGCACCTAGTCTTTTTGCATATTATGGTTTAATCCATTTCATAGCTGTAAATGCAGCTAAGGGTAACACATAAATAGCTCCTAAAGTTGATCCAGATACTCTATGTAAATATTCAACTATAAAGATTTTCTTAAATTTGTCTAAATCTATAGGAGTATGTTAATATTCTGGAAATTGTTTGTAATGATCAAATTCCTTCTCCCAATCAGCTTGATTTCTTGGATATATATATTCTATGGGTTTCCATTTTGTCATTGATAATCCTAAAATAATATTTCAATAAATACTTACCTGAATGAGTAAGTCTAGTGTAACCTCCTAACAAAACCATAAAATAAACTCCACCTGCACAAAGAAGTAACCATCCTCCTAATAACCATCTTTTTGATGGATCTACCCATTCATTGACTGGATCTTCGAAATGAGCATTCCTGTCAAATTTAGCATTCTTACTAGCTTCAGCATTCGAGAATTTGTAGTATCTATTATTTTATAAAGGCTTAAGAGTTGTGGTTAAATTTTTGAATGTTCTTATTCTTGACAATAGCATTAAAATGATATAAAATTATAATAAATGACTAGATCTATATTAATATTTAAAAATTAATTATGGACGAGCCAAACGAATAAGAAATTGATGAACTTTAAAATTAATACTTCTAAGATAAGATGTTTAGAGTTTGTGCAAAAGCTGTTATTAATGATGATGCATATTTTAATAGATTATATGAACCAGAATATTTATAAGGTTTAGCAGATAGAGCAAAAGATTAAAAAGAGAAGAATGATATTCTTAATCAAAAGAAAAAAGTAGAATACAATTAAAATAATGTAAAAGAAATGTTTTATTAATGCTTTAATCGATATTTCTATGTTTATGGAGTGTTACAATAAGTAGCCCATGCAGAAGAAGATTGATAATCTAATAAAACTATTAATAATTTAATTATTGTCAATAAATCTATCATAACTGCATTTCTATTTTCTTATATAATGCAAAAGTTTAAATCATCAATAATATATTATATTCTAAAATAGATATTCATATTTATTCTATAGAATTTCCAAAATTAATGCAAGATACATTTAAATTAAATCAAAAAACAAAAGAATCTATTAAAAATTAATTCATTCTATTACTTCCAATGTCCAAAGCCTTAAATTTTGGAGAATTTTATGATTCTCTTACTAATATAATATTATTTTACAAGACTTATTTATTTGATTGTTATTATTTCCAAGATATGTTCACTTTTAATATTGCTTTATTTAAGTTTCAAATATATGGATAAAAATGAATTAAATTTTACTAAATTTCATATAGAATATCATTAACACATAATTTAGATACTATTCTTTAATCAAAATATACCTAGATAGAATAATGTTAATGAGTATAGATTAAAATACTTCATTATAAATATTATGAAACAAGTTGGCTGAAAGAATTTTAGATAGTTAGATTAAAATTCTATATATATAATAGATGTGGATTTAAAGTTAAGATTATTCAGAACTAAGTAGACTTTCTTTATAAAATAAATGTTCATATTTTACAATATATTTTCTTGTAAAATAATTTTATAGATTCTTATTAATATTCTTCTTTTTTATGTTCATAATTTTTATGATCTTGTTTGAGATGCTTCGAATTATTGTATATAGAGTCTAATTTTAATTCTGTATGAGAAGCTAATGATGAATTATCATCATCCAAACATTCTTTTCTTTTTATTATTTTTAATTAATCTTTTTATGTAGGCAAGAGTATTCCATTTCGTGTTAATCTAAAATATAAATTATTTTTTTTAACATTTAACTTGGAACTCTACATAGAATTCCTGTTTTAAGAATTGAATCTTAAGAATGAGATTTAAGGTGTTCAAGTTTTGACTCTAATTAATTTAAAGGCAATCTTCTTAATTTAATTTGTTATCTAAGTGAATGAGTGTGAACAGATGTAGGATTTGATTTTTTTTCTACTTTTTATTATGTAGGAACATTCATTTTAATTTATTATTGTGAAGAGAGGAATTATAAAGTTCCTCTTTATTTAGGAGTACTTTCATCTTTATTTTAGTTCACATGTACTGAATAATCAAATATTTAAGATGAACTACGTTTAGTTCTATTTGATTTACTAGAAGGTTTAGATTCGATTACTTCATCAAATTCAACAGATTTAGAAATTCTGTCTGAAATTTTTAATTCTGCACACATTCTTAATAAATTTATAGGCTTTTGAATAGGTCGAAACTTTAAGAATGATAATTCATTATTTCTGCTTTTGAGAAGTGAGAGAAATTTCTTTTTAGTATGTTAGAGAATTTTTTATTTAGATTGTAATAATAATCTCTCATCCTTTAATTTTTGTTTTTCTTTTTATTTGACTAGTTACATTAAGTAATTATTTCTTTAGGCTGTTGTTTTCAGAAATCTATTATTATAAAGTAAATTATTACCTAAGTGTATCTCCAATGAACTTTGTCTCAATTATAGGGAGTGAATTTTATTATTTCATTTTATAATAATGGACAATGAATTAATAGATATACCAATTGATTATGATGAACCAAAGTTAGACACATAAGAATTATAGCTAGGATAATAGGAATAAGTGTCTTAAATTATATATCCATCACTCCCTTTACTTTAAGGTGAAGCTGATTAGAAACCCTAAATTCATAAAATCATCTTCCATCTTACTGAATTGGTCTAATAGAGTTATACATAATATTATGAAAATATTTCATATGTGGTTTGGAGTTAATTTGATGAAGAACCTGCTAAGACAGTTCATAGGAAATACACTCATTTTGAATGGCTAAATGCAGCATTAAAACGAGAGTTTCCAGGATTACTCATTCCTGCCATTCCACCAAAAACAGTTTTAGCAAAAATTAATATAACTGAACATACTTAAATAGTGAGAGAGAAACGATATAGAGTATTTTATATATATTAGAATTTTAGCAATTAGAAGAATTTTTAAATAAAATCAAAGATCATCCTTAATTATAAATTAGTAGTAAATTTAAATTATTTCTTTCAGCATCTTAAGAGGTATAAATAATTAATAGTTTTATAGATTATTTAATAGGAACTCTTAGAATTGTCTTAATATCAAACATATGTTCATTAATTAGGATCAGCTATTGCAAATGCTGGATCAAAGGCTTATGATCTTGCAAAAGGATCTTTTAATTTCTTAAGCAGTTTTATATACTCTGGATAATAGAATTCTCAAAAATAATGGCAATATCCTGATTTAGATATTCCTTAAGACATAAAAGAATTCATTGAAAGTTGGGAAGATGTATTGAAAATTCAATTATTTAGTTATTAATTGAAGAATAATAGAAAGTAAAAAGAATTTTTGAATACTACTAAAATATAGTTAATATTAAATTAGAGCAAAATGAGGATACTAAAAAAGTTATAAGTTCTATGAAAGAACTTGAATTACCATAATTAGAAAAAGATATTAATAAAACTGAAGCAAGTTATTACCTCAATGAGACTATCTTTAATGAGATTAAATTGAGTGTAATATTCAAATTGGAGGTACATATATTCTTTTAAATAGCTCTGTATCCTAGATTTAGATGAAGCCATAGGCATAATTAGAAGACGATCTGATTTGATTTATTAGATTTAATAATAAATCAAAATGCACAATCAAATTGAAACTTTTAATGGTATTATCAATTATTTACTTAAGAAAAAATTTAATATAAAGAATAAATTAGAGAAAACTAAAAAGTACTTAAAATCTTAGAATCAAACTTTTAGAAAGATATTACAAGATTTGCTAATTGGCTTAATAATTATCTTTAATAATTAATTAGGAATTATAATGAATAATTTTAAAAATTGTACAAAGAATAAAATAAGAATTGGAATAATTGATTATATTTATTATTATTATGAATATTAGATAATTAGATAATATCGTTTCATGGCTTCTTTCTAAATTTAAGTCTTCACCTTATAGATGGAATGAATAATAAATACATTCCTTTTGTGAATCTGTTGGATTATAATGGGCTGTATCAATTATTACTGTAAATGACTTCATTAATATATAGATCTAAACTGCACCAAAATAGAGATCTTACAATAATTAAGAGACTCATACTTATCTAAATAAACTATAAATACCTTTGTTAGATGCCTGTACAAGATAGTATGAAGAAATATTGGAATTATGTAATGCTTAGAGCATTTATAAATTGATTAGTCATTCAATAGATATTAATCTATATTATTAGATTTAGAAATTAAAAATATGGTCACTTATAGTTTTAAAATATCAACATTATAGAGAAATATTTAAGAAACACTATGGATCTAAATTCTTTTCTTCATCTAAATGTAAGAGTTGTACAGCTGAAATCAGTTGTGCATGTCAAATATTAAGCAATTTATTAATTGAAATAGAGATATATATTAAAAGTATATATGAACTCTCTAATATTCAAAATCAAAACAGAAGAAGCTCTATGTATATAAGTTCAGATATAATAAATTTATTATTAAAATCTATTTCACATCTACCATCTTATGATTAGTAACCTTTATTCTGGGATATGGATGATATTAAAGTTTTATTGCATGTAATTAAATTCCAAGATTATTATTAATTGTTATTTTAAAATTAAATAGATGGATTTGTTTTACTTATATTAGTCAATCCACCTTTTAAAGGAGATAATTTATTTTTAAAATGTTTGTTAATGAGTTAATAAAATTATTCACAAAAATCATAAAATTTACTATTTTAAAATCGTCAAAGTATGGTTAGAAATACTATGTAGACAGCAAGCAAATATCATTAAATAAATTAGTTTCTTCATTTATTACATTATTTATTATAAATATTAAGTTTAGCTGCTTATAAAAATTAGGAATCATATACAGAATATAAACATTTAGGATAGAGAAAAGTAAGTTAAATCAGATGGATATCTTTATATTATTTTAATAAAGATACACATGTAGGTTAAGCAAATAGAAGATCAACACTTACTGAATAATTTAAAAGATCATCAAAATCATATGGAAGTGTTGAATCATAAATGAAAAATAGAAATAAAACAGAAACTTTAGATTAATTGGAAATTAAAATTATGGTGACAGATCAAAGTTTAGAATAAATAAAAAAATAATTTAGTCAACCTAATGTTACTCATTCAGCCTAAATTTCACCTAATGTTTAAAGAGATACCAATTGGATAAAATTTAAAAATTAAACTGTTAATTAATTCAATATTGAAGATAGTGTTAATAAAAATAGTTCATTTTTGATGTATTTTATTATTATAATATATGTAAGACCAGATAATGATAGCAATACATAAGAATAGGAAAGGGATAGATAAAACACAGAAACTCATGTTTAAATTGATGAAGAAATATTATCAGGGAGTAATGTAAATCAATCATAAGAAGAATAGTCACAATAATTATCTAATTAAGAAGAAGATTAATAAGATCTTAATGATTAAATGTAATAATAATAATAATAATAATAATAATAAGATATGGGTGAATCTGTTATTTTAGGTTAAGCTACAATAATGTCATAATCTACAATATTGTAGTAATCTGTTATTATTTAATAACCAACTATTATGTAATAATCTGTTATGATGTAATAATCATAAATAATGTAATAATCATAAATAATGTAATAATCATAAATATTATAATAATCATAAATAATGTAATAATCAACAATTATGTAATAATCAACAATGTTAGAAAAATCAATATAAATACAATAAATTATAGAATAATAAGTTAATTAACGAGTAGAGTACTTATTAAAATATAATTTTTTAGATTTAATAATAGAGATAAATCAAAGAATAAATATTAAAAAGGATTGAATAAATAACTCTTCAACCATTATTTGATTTATTTTAACTTTAATAATAAACTCATTTAAAATTGAAATGTGATGAATAATAAAAAGTAAATATGATTGTTAAGAATTAGTTAAAAGTTATTAATATTTAAGGGGCGAGTTTTGGTAGGAATGAAGATTGCACATTTGCTTTTACAGATCATTCTAAAATAAGTAGCAAACATTGCTAAATATATTATAAAGATAGTAATATTTATAAATAAGTTGACAGAAGCATTTTACCTAGTTGATGTAGGATCAAAAGGTGGTACTTTTATAAAAATAAACCATAATTTTGTAATTGAAAAAGATATGTCTGTCTATATAGGAAATCGATTTGGATTTAAAATAATTGATATTAATACTGAAACAGGATTTTTGGAAGTGAGATATGAGCATGAAGGAACAGCAAAACACAAATAAATATAATTAAAAAGAGGTGATAAATTCTTAATAGGAAGAGAAAGATCTAAAAATAATTTTACATTTATGCATTCTTAGTAAATTAAATAATAAAGAATTTTAGATGTAATAGATTAATGAGTGCAAAACATATGGAAATATATTATGATTATAATTTTAAAGCTGGATCAGTTAAATTAATGATAAATGATTTGGAAAGTAAAAATGGAACATGGTTACGATTAAGTGAGAAATAAATTGTTAGTGCACCTTTTCATTTATAGAAAGGAGTAAAATTTAATTTATCATTTGAATTAATGTTTGATGTATTTGAATTGGTATGTGATGTATGATTGATGAATTTATAAAAAATATACATTAAAATAATTATGAGTTAGAAATTAGAAATTATTGAAAGAAAATTAGTTGTAGTAATAGCAGCTATAGTTTATACTTTACATTATTGGATCAATTGTAATATATGGATAAAAGAAGAATTAAACATATTATTGACTATACATATGATTACTTTGAATATCGTTTTCATAATGCTTTTCTGGTGTTTTATAGTCATTTTAATCATTGATCCAGGAAGACCAAAAATGTAAATTGACAGATTAAGATAGAGTAGATGAATATAATTAATCTCCATTCTCAAAGAAAGGATTCTGTCAATAATGTAGACGTTAAAAACCTGAACGTTGTCATGTATAATTTCAAAAATATAATTTAGCATTGTTCAATTTGTAATCGTTGTGTATTATAAATGGATCATCATTGTCCATGGATAAATACATGTGTAGGTTATTAAAACAGAAAGTAATTCATATTACTATTATTTTATGCATTGTTATTTAACTTTATAACAGTAATAAGCACAACTAAAACATATTTACTTTCATTTCAATTTTCATATTTAAATATTATTTATGCTTTGATTTGTATTGGTAATTATGTTTTAGTAGTTTTACTTATTGGTTTTCTTAAATATCACTTATATTTATTATAAAAAAATTAGACAACATTAGAAGACATAATTAGTAAGAACAATTAAATATCATTTAATATCTACGATATTGATCCACATACTAATATTATCTAGATATTTGGATAAAATAAAATTTTATGGTTATTCCCAATATATTCTGGTTTTGGATGTGATGATGGAAATTCATTCCCAAAAAATGATTATAAAGTTATGTAAACTTCTTCTCCATAAGTTATTTCAGTGTAAAAATTCAAATTTATTATAGTTTTTATGAATAATAGTATGTAAGTAGTGATAAAAATAAGAATGAATATTCAAATGTTTAAACTTTATATAAAAGAGAAATAAAAGATTAATGAAATTATAAAGAATTGATTCCCTCTCTTATTAATTTATTTTTTTTCATAATCAAATAAGCCAAAATTATTTATAGATCATAACTTCTAATATAAATTATAATATTAATAAATATTATGTTTTCCATTATTATTTGTAAAACAAATAAATTCATTATTCATTAATTGCCTTTTTAACCAATTCTATTTATAATCTTCTCTTTTTCATTTATTCAGCAGTTAATCTTATCTCTTTCTTTGGAATTGTTTATTTTAATTTTAGAGTTCTTAATTTAATACTCTTTTTCAAAATATCATCTTCTTTTTCTGTTACTCCTTAATTAAATCCATATTAATCAACTTCAATATCGGGTTACTTTATAACTTCTGGTAAATTGAAATTTGCAATTGTATCTCTTATTGTTTTCTCCAATTTTTGTTTCTCTTCTTCAACATTCACAGTTCCTTCTATTTATTATTTAGTTTATTCCCTTGATTTTTCAAAGTATTCCTTCTCAGCTTCCTCATCATCCGAACTGCTTTCTTATTAATCTTACTATGCTTCCTTTCTAATCAATTCTAAAGCAATCAAATCTAGGAGTTAGTTTTGTGAAATCATTTCAGTTTGAAATAAACGAAAATCAAATAAACAAATAAATTAGATGATGGTGTCTTAAGCATAATTTTACAATAATTCTTTAATATTCTACAATAGTTTTATTATCAAATACTTTCTTATATTTTTCCTAAGACTCATTTGATATAAACTTATTTGCAATTGGTTATAAAGATTCTTGAAATTTCTATAGATATTGATAAAAAATGATTTACTTTATGCAGCTCCTATTACTAATTCAAATTCTACTAATTTTCTGAAAATTGAGATGAAAATTAGTAAACAAAATTTTTATAAGCAGCCTACCACTCTTTACTACTTAAAAGTCTTATGATATCTAGGTCTTATGCTGTTGCTTTCATTTTATATTTTTTTATAAATAAATAATATTACAAGATTTCTTAAAATTAGTAATATATATTAGATGATTAAGTGTTTTATAAGTGATATAATAAAGTAAATGGTTTCATCATATTTGAATAATAAATAAATAATCTAATATTGAATATATAAAAAGTTTAAAATGTTCAAATGTGATAATAATCATATTCACATAGATTTTATCAATATAATACATATTTATAATAATAAGATATACAATTGAAGTAACTTAACTAGGAATTCATAAATTTTCAAATCTATTGATTAATATTAATAGTAAAATTATTCAAAGATTTTAGAGTAAAAGTATAATTTAAATCTAGAAGTGTAGATGAAATAAATCAAAAACAAATGTATTCAGTATATGTTAATTCTATATGTATTTCAATTTGGAAAATTTTATGATTTGAACTTAGTTTGAAAATCAAATAATTGTCTCTCTTAAAATATAAATTTTATTTAATTTTATGAGACAATCAAATAATCATATATAAAACTTGCATTTGATTGCTGCAAGACTTAGTACTGCAAAATCCAATTAAAAATCTTTCTTAAATGAAAGTTGTTAGATACTAACCTAATAAACTAATTTATCAATCAATTAATCATTTAGCAGTCCGAAATATATATCCAATTAACATTCATTCATAATAACATAACCAGTTAATTCAAGTATGAGCATGAGAGATACCTAATAGAATTTTAAATGTAGTTCTCCATCAATGAGAATATAAACAGAAAAAAATGAAAAAGATGATAAAAAACAATAATAATTTATTGAAGCAACCTTTAAATTATTAGCCTAAAATGAAAAACTAGAAAAATTGATAAGTTAATAAAATGAAATGCTTTAGATGTATAGAGATGATAAAAAAGAATTAGAAATGACAATAAAGAGATTGAATTAAGAAATAAAGTTTCTTAAAGAGGCTAATTAAAAATAAGTCTCTTTGTTAGAAAAATAACTAAAATAAGTGAAAGGAAAGTCATATCATCTTCCCAAAAAACTTTTTAAATGAAAGGTCTTTTGATAATTTTATTTATAAATTTTATTGCTTAAAAATGAAATAAAATCTAATTTTCTAGAAAAAGTGTATTTTCACAATGATCTTAATATTAGATTATAAATCATTTAATATTTTGAATTAAGTTCTTTTTATAGGAATAAAAGGAAATGTAACTCTTGTATTATAGTCTATTTAATAAAATAATATGTTCTCAATAAAAGTAAAGATTCAATAATAAGTAGTAAAAGTAAATGAATTTTTAATTATAAGTTCATATCTATATATTTATATATATATTCATTCTTATTAATAAAAATTAGAATTTGTATATTGAAATATAAATTTTTATTTGAATTCAACAATAGAGGAATGGGATAATTTTTAAGTTCTTAATGTTGTGAAAAGAAGGTTGAGCCACCTAAATCTTTGTTATAAGAAGGTCATTTGTTGAACTTAAACCAAGATTATTAATATTTTTTTAGTTAAGATTGGTTTGGAGTTGATAAGCCATAATTTGAACCATAAAAATTCATCTTTATATATCCAGGTTATAAGGAGGATTAATCATAAATGGAAAAGTTTTGGTCAAAGGCTGATACAATAAATTTAAGGCATGGAGAATTAGTTAGGTAAAAAGGAAAAGTTTTAAATAAGAAATGGCAATATTTATTTAGAAAGTATTGAAATTCAGTAATAAATAGAGGTGTTCCATGTTCTTTGGCTAAAAAAATAATATTAGATACTTTTAGATTAACTTATGTAGATTGTGAAGCAGAATATTTATCAGCTTTAAAGGTTGTATTTAAAAACAAATAAATTCCTAAAACCTTTAAAAATGTACCTCTTTTTGGTTGTAATACAAATGAAGATGATGATGAAGAATTTAATTACTTAAATGAAAGTGAAAAAAAAATATAACTAATACTTAAAGTTTAGATATTAAATTAATAAGGAATGGAAGCATTAATTCGTTTACTTTGGATAGTGAATAATTTAAATCATTTTTTGGAATATAATCCAATGTTACTTCATATTATAGTTTTACTTTTAATATTTTTAAGTGAAGCTTAGACTTATTGTGTATTGTAATTTATGATAAAAGATTCATAATAAAGTTTGAATGATAATTAAACAAAATAATAATTAAGATGGCATTTAATTATGAATGAAGAACATTTTAAAGAGTAATTATTATTAAATTTATTATTAGAACAGCTACTACATTTTATGAAACTGTGAGTAGAAGGAGTAAAACATTTAATAATATTTATTAATTGATGTAAAATATTCATTTTGATTCTTTTGAATTTTTTTAAGAGATGTCTATAAGTTTAANATCATTTAATATTTTGAATTAAGTTCTTTTTATAGGAATAAAAGGAAATGTAACTCTTGTATTATAGTCTATTTAATAAAATAATATGTTCTCAATAAAAGTAAAGATTCAATAATAAGTAGTAAAAGTAAATGAATTTTTAATTATAAGTTCATATCTATATATTTATATATATATTCATTCTTATTAATAAAAATTAGAATTTGTATATTGAAATATAAATTTTTATTTGAATTCAACAATAGAGGAATGGGATAATTTTTAAGTTCTTAATGTTGTGAAAAGAAGGTTGAGCCACCTAAATCTTTGTTATAAGAAGGTCATTTGTTGAACTTAAACCAAGATTATTAATATTTTTTTAGTTAAGATTGGTTTGGAGTTGATAAGCCATAATTTGAACCATAAAAATTCATCTTTATATATCCAGGTTATAAGGAGGATTAATCATAAATGGAAAAGTTTTGGTCAAAGGCTGATACAATAAATTTAAGGCATGGAGAATTAGTTAGGTAAAAAGGAAAAGTTTTAAATAAGAAATGGCAATATTTATTTAGAAAGTATTGAAATTCAGTAATAAATAGAGGTGTTCCATGTTCTTTGGCTAAAAAAATAATATTAGATACTTTTAGATTAACTTATGTAGATTGTGAAGCAGAATATTTATCAGCTTTAAAGGTTGTATTTAAAAACAAATAAATTCCTAAAACCTTTAAAAATGTACCTCTTTTTGGTTGTAATACAAATGAAGATGATGATGAAGAATTTAATTACTTAAATGAAAGTGAAAAAAAAATATAACTAATACTTAAAGTTTAGATATTAAATTAATAAGGAATGGAAGCATTAATTCGTTTACTTTGGATAGTGAATAATTTAAATCATTTTTTGGAATATAATCCAATGTTACTTCATATTATAGTTTTACTTTTAATATTTTTAAGTGAAGCTTAGACTTATTGTGTATTGTAATTTATGATAAAAGATTCATAATAAAGTTTGAATGATAATTAAACAAAATAATAATTAAGATGGCATTTAATTATGAATGAAGAACATTTTAAAGAGTAATTATTATTAAATTTATTATTAGAACAGCTACTACATTTTATGAAACTGTGAGTAGAAGGAGTAAAACATTTAATAATATTTATTAATTGATGTAAAATATTCATTTTGATTCTTTTGAATTTTTTTAAGAGATGTCTATAAGTTTAATGTTAACTTACTTACCATTTTCTGCTGTTTTAAAAATATTCATTATTTATTTAAATGAAGGAATTAAAATATATTTTAGAATGTTTTATTCTATTTTAAGATATGTATCAGATGATATAAAGTCATGCAAATCAAGCTCTAATTTTAAATCAATTTTAAGAAAGAAAATAATGAATTTAAATATAGAAGAATAAAACAATATTATAAAACAAGCATTTAAATTAAGTTTAAGTGAAAGTGAACAAGTAAAATCTTTTATGAGGACAACAGTATCATATACTAAAAATTAACCATGTTATTTACCTATTCCATCTCAGGCATCTGACTTAATTACTAATGAATAGGCATATATAGTTATATGATATTTAGCTAGTTTGAAATATTATGGGATTGGATGTCGAATATGTATAAATTAAGTGATCCATTTTTAATATTTGCCTCAAAGACTGATGGACATTCATTAAAATAATTATATTTCAAATGTTAAGATTTTACTGATTATCCAGTTCTTATAGTAATCTAAACTAATTAAAATATTGTATTTATTTTTATATTATTTTAATAGATATTTGGTGCATTTTGTGATAAGATGTTTGCTGTAAAAAATAAGTATATTGGTTCAAGTGAAACTTTCCTATTCACTCTATAACCAGAAGAGAGAAAATATAATCCAACATCAGGAAATAAAGATTATATGATGTGTGCTCCAGATTATTTAGCATTTGGAAGTGGCAAGTAGTAGATTATTAAATCCTTAGAAATGGACCTGCATTTTAAATTGATTCAGAGTTGAATAGAGGATTTACTTATTAAAGTGATACTTATGATAATCCATTGTTTACAGATTAGAAAACTTAAAATAGATTCAAATGTTTATGCATAGAAGTATATTATCTAAAATGATAATTTATTTATTATAAATGAAATATATAGTGTTTATTTTATTTTAGCTTATCTTATTTAGTTTATCTGAAGTAGTAGTAAAACCTAGAATTTAATGTACATTTTAAGATTGTGAGGGTGATGATTTTTGTTATTAAGGTTATTGTACACCTTGTGAAATTCCTAGAAATTTATGTATTTTTATATTATTTATATTAAGGGTTTCAAAGAAAACCAGAATGGGGAACCAAAGTTGGTGAAGCTATACAAGTACCTGCCTATTCTAATTTTGGAGATGCTAATGTATTAGATACAAATAAAGATGAATATTTGTAAGACTCAAAAATCAATTTTGGAGAAGAAATTTATGTTGGATAAAAGTAAGAATATTTTATTTATTAAAGTTATTAATGTGTATAATTTGCCAGACGATTTTGGATCTAAAATTATAATACAACATTTGGATCTGTTAATTATGCTGAATAAATATTTAATCTTTAAGAAGCATATAATTTTGATACTAAAAAAACCTTATAAATGATGAAATTTCAAAATGGAGATATCCATACTCCAAAATTTGGTGATTTATTGATTTGGTAAAAAGATGAAGGTGAATTTCCTTATGGACATGTTGCTGTTGTTATTGCTGTTGAAATTGAATCCAAATATCCTCATGTTTTGATAGCAGAATAAAATTATGATTAATCATGGGATGCAAGAAGTTTTTCAAGAGCATTAAAACTTACTTAAGGAAAAAATAAAGAAATAATAATATCCAACAATAGATAAATATTCCCAACAAAAGAGGATTGGAAATGTAGAGATACTGAAATTACATCTTAAGGTGTCATTTTAGGTTGGGTTCGTTTGAATATTTAATGAATTAATTTATAAACCTAAATACTATAGAATTATTTTCTGCAAATCTTTTATTTCCATAAAAACAATGATAATCTTTATGATCTCAATTATTATCACTATTTTGATGATTCAGAAAGGATTTTTACAAATTAGAATAATCTTTTATTTGATTATAATAAATTTAACACTAATATTCTACTTTTTATTTTTTCAAGAAAGGAAGCAATATTTATTCTTTAATTGTAAAATGGATAAAAGGAAAGACAATTAGAAGATAAAATTATAATGAATAATTTTCAATGATATTACTTGTTAAACATGTGTTTGTGACATTTAAAGTTCATTAATGAGCATAAATTAAGAAAATAAATTTATAATGGAGACTCCAAAAAATATATAATTATTTTATTATTGATTCTGCATTTATTAATTTAACGATACTATTATAATTACTAATTTTTTACTAATAAAATAATTTGTTAATAATTCAATAATTTAATTTTAATGAGTTTCTTAGTTTAGAAAACCATAATCACTCAATTTCCTTTTGCGTAATAACATAGTCTTAATTTCAAGTAATAATTTGGTTAGATATTTACTACTCAAGAATATTAAGTTCCTAAAAATAATTTAAATCAATCAAATTAATGTCAATTAGAATTAGATGCATTTTTTATAGATTCATAATTTAGTATAAAGTTTCTGTTAGAAATTAAGAAAGTATTTGGTAAATTTGAGAAAGTTTAATCATCATTAGAAAATGATTTTTAATTGCTTTTGCTCTTTTCTACTATATAGAATACATACTATGTTAATTTGAGGTTAATATGTAATTGGAACTAAAATGACAAAGAAATCATACTTTTCATATAATACTATTGCTTATTATTATTAAATTGTATGACGCATTATCAAGAGATAAAAGTAAACTGATAGAAGGGTATTAAGCTTTATTATTTACTACAATTTCATTAACCCATGCCCATTCTTGCTGATATAAAATATTAAGTTGAACTTTAAATGAAGAAGACTTAATCTAATAGAGTTGCCCCTAGTCCTAAAGAGAAAGTAATGCTTTTGACTCGTATTCTTTATGAAAGGAAACCAATTAAAGAAGTATTTAATTCAAAATATCAATTAATAGGCTTGTGAAGAGTTACAAATGTCTTATGCCTGGGGTAAGGCCATATGGTCTGAACACATATCCCAATATAATAAATCAAAAAAACTATATAAAAAAAAAAATGATTCTCTCAAAACTCCCCCAAGCGAAACAGAATAAATAACTAAAAAGGTCGCAGGTGTCAAAATGCTTCCAAAAGGACAACACATCAGCAAAAAATTCCACATTCAAATTTTAATTCATGGGAATCCTGTTGTCTCTAAAAAGCTTGTTGATTGAGAATAGAAAGTTAGGCTGCACCTTGCTTTCTTTTATTTTCTTAATTCATGCTTTCTCGTTTATTCTCTTTCTGGAGAATAAATATCTGAATAGCATAATTATATATCAATTTAATAATTTTTATTCACCTAAAATTTAGAAATAATCTTTAGGTATCTCAGTATATAGGTTTGAAGAAAATTTGATATTTCTAAATATTTTCAATCTTTTTACATATTGATTATTCAAATTTAATGTCAATCTATCTTCAAATTAATAAGATTGCTATTAAGTTTTAATATATTTATCAATAAAATATCTAAATATGTTCTTTATGATTAAATGATTAACTTATTTAATTCTGAATAAATTATGTCGTTTCTATAGAAAAATGGTTTCTATATAAGATTTTTTAAACAATTTTAAAGAAAGATTGGAAATAAAATAATAAAAGCTTTTACTACAATAAGTATTGAGAAATTAATCATTTATTAAAATAAAAAAGATTTGTTGTAAGTTTCATTTAGTGGAGAAATTATATAGTTATAATTAAATTGAAAAATTATTAATTGTTAAAAAAAGTAAAAGTTTTGTTAAGGTAAAATAAATTTTTTATAGATTAAAACTAATATTAGTATGAAAATAATAAATGTTTATTTTAATAATTTCAGTCGGTACGATCATTGGCAAATAGATTCAAGAAGTCTTAGCCTAATGAAGTTTGGAATGGGACTTTTACAGGTAATTTAGGTTGGTTCTTATTAAGTTAAGAGCTATTATTATATTTTATAACTATCTAAGGCTCATTGGTTCTAAATCCATGAGCTGATGTAATTTAATTATTTAATGGGGAATAGGATAAATTTTATAATCCTATATTATTAAATTTTAGATTAGCTGATTAAGGATGTTTATAATTAATGTTTGGTTTTTCTAAATTTATATTAGATATATACTTGCTTCATCAGTATGATATCCATCTTTGGATTGGAATTTGTTAAGATTGACTTTATTATTCATTTTAAAAAAGCCAAGATCAAATTCATCAAGATCATCATTAAAATTATTGTTTACTAAAATTAAATATAAAATTTATATACCTTTATCATCAATTTATGCATACATATTCTTAATTGGAATTTCATGATTGACTAAAGAATCAACAACTTCAATAGGTAATTCTAATCCAGTGGCTTTAGGAGGTGTTTTATGTCTAGATGGAGGGCGATCATTGTTATCAAAATTATCAATTGCATGATCAGTTGGTTTTCTTCTTTATCCAGAACGAATAGAGAGTATATCCTAGATATGTATAGATTTGATACTTTAGGTGAATTAAGAGTGTTAGTAATGATTGGAATAATTTCTTAATTTTCTGAATCATCCTCTTAAATAATATTAGCATAACAATCAATGAGCTAAAATTCAGAATCTTTTTTTTCAGTTGTGTTTTCTTAAACTTCATTGGTTGAATTAGCAAATCTTCTTCTTCGTGCTCCTTCAGATGTTTATGGTCTGTTTAGAGTGGCAGTTGCTTTTCTCATACTAATTATAGGTTCCTCTAATTGTTTTTAAACAAATGATTTATTCTTTTATATATGACCCTCTTCTTAATGTTAAGTTGGCAATTACAAATTATGATCTCCTTCGCTATCAGCTTCATTAGATTCATTTGAATCGATATCTACATTATCAACTTCCATAATTTCAATATTATCATCATTATCTCTTGGTGTGAGTTATGGATCTTCATAATTATATGCAACAATATTATCGCATTATAGTTTAGGTTCAAAAGTATTTAATTATTATGTCTATGGTCTACTCTACTATTCGCATGAGTGAAATGCTCTTGAGTTTTATTGAGTAAATGTTCTAGATGGTTTAAATGAAGCTCTTCCACTCTTTGGTGCATCATCATACCTTTTCTCAAGACTTCTTCTTTTCATCATTCCTTATAATGAACCTGCATAGATTTTTGAGATCTATTAGATATTGTTTTAGTAACTTTTAGGAGGCTATCTACTTTAAAAAAAATGCTACTCACATTGTTTTTGTATATGGATTAGGTACCTAATGAGAAACTGTAATTAATGGTTGCTGATATGGACTTTTCAAAGGTAATTTATCTTTTCGAGATTGTTATGGTGCTGTTCCTCCTCGTTTAAGATTTTCTCTAAGCTAAATTAACTCCTCATGCAAATACCCTTAATTAGCAAACCAACTTAAATAAAATGGTTGTTATTATGGCTCTTTCTAACTTTTTGGCTTAAACATATTAATAATTATGAAACCTGAATCCAAGAAAGAAATTCTAGCAAAACTAATGCAAAAAGTCCCACTCATACGTGAACATAGACTGAAATTAGGCTAATATGTTAGATAACCAATTACATATAGTCCTATGAATGTAGTAACTCCTATGATGGCTTCAAGATAAGCAGAAACAATTACAGATACTTCAACTATTTATCAATTAGTACCAGGATTCAAGATTAATAATTAATCCACCTATAAATTATATGGCAGTTCTGGAAGGAAGTATTAAGACAAATCTTGTTCAATCACAAAGTTTAAAACATAGCCTTCATTTTCATTAAATTCCACTATTTCTAAGATTTATTTGTCCCCAAGACCAACAAAATAATTCAAGTATAAAAAATTTGTAGAAACTTCACATACCTTCAGAAAAAATATTCCTCGTAGAGCATTAATATTGTAATCTAACAAATAAGATTGCTATCATTAACCTTCTTAATGGAATCTTGACAGATGGGACACTAATGATGATAGAAATGAAAACAAATCATTTATTTTTTGATTAATACTACATCTTCTTTAAATAAATCTAATTCAATAATAAAATCAAATAAAATTTTTTCTCATTTACCATTAATAATATAAAATAAAACCGACTAATTACTCCAATTCTTAATGTTTTGATACATAGATACTCTAAAGTGTTTTGAAATTTATTTCTTTATATTACATTCAGGAATCATAAGAAACAACTTTAATCTATCAGAAAAAGTAGTAATATAGTCTATTTGAATACATTTTCAAATATAAATAATAATAAAAGATAATCTTATCAAGCAATTAATATTGAAGATACAAATATAATGAATTATTTAAGAAACAATTAAATAAAATTAGTTTATAAATAATCATTCTTAATTGTTTAGAAAATCTAAAAAATGAAGATCCTTTTCTTAAATTTATCTAAATTTTATATCTTCAACTTTTTCAATCTTTTTTCCTGTATTTAAATTTATTTAATCTACTATTTTTGTTCTAAATAAAATCTCCTTATTTTATTTTTAAAAAACAATCTGCATAAATTTTTAAGGAGATTCTTTTTCAAGATCAATTTCATCAACTTATAATATGCAATTATTATCTGTTTTGAGTATTTTTCTATCATTTAAGAAATCTATATGAAATTCTTCAAAATTTTCATTGAATTTATTAATATCAGGTACTGGTTAAAGAGAATTTCTTCTTTAATGTTTAAGAAAAGAAGTATCATATTCATTGCTAAGTGAATTAGTCATTACTTTATTTTATTATTTGTCTTAATTCAAAGAATTATTTGATAGTTTTCTATTTTTAATAATTTTATCTAATTAATCAGAATAAGATAATTTATTTGATTAATTCAATTTATAATCTATATGATCCAAGACATCTTCAAAATGATATTGTCCTGCTTAAATATTTTTTTCCAAAATAACATTTTTATCATTTTATATTTCATTTTCATTATGAGATGATTCTGAATTTGTTTCAGAATCTACATATGCTGTTATAATTGGAATAGTTTCGAATAAATTTTTAGTTATTTCTTATTAATTTTATTTTGGATTTGAGTTAGCCTAACAATTAATAAAAATATTATTTGTTGATTCATTAATTCCATCCTATTCTTAATATTTGAAATCATCAACATCCATAGCAGATACAATAATATTGTTTTCAATTTAAGGACTACTAGGATCTTCTCCTAATTTATTCTTATGTCTTTCTTCTTTTTTCATTTATTGCACCTTTGATGTTCTCCAATTATGAGAAACCATTAATTCTTCTTCTATTTATATCAAATCATCAAAATATAACAAGAAATCTCCATCTTTAATTAATTTAAGGGATAACTTTTATTCAAATTAATAAATTTAATAGTCTATTTATCTATGATGTTTTTCGTGTATTTTATTCTTAAATATTAATTTTGAAGCCCAATATGGATGATAATCATTTAATGCTCTATCATAAATGAAAGAAATCATTTTTCTTACTGAAGATATCAAAATATCTGATTTATTAAATTTATGCATTAAACTCAATATTAATTCCATGATATTTGCTTTGTCAATCCTTTCCCATAATTATATATCTGTAATTCTGATTAAATTATCAATTATCTAAAATAATTATAATTTATTAGTACTTCAATAAGCTTAATGGTCAAAAAACCAACTTTAGTTTAATACAATAGTGATTAATTTAATATTTAAGCTAATATTTTTACATCAAAATATTCAAAAAATTCAGTACTTCTAAATTTTTAAGTAATTTCTAAAGTCTCTGGCTCATACAATTAGATATTTTACATATTCTTTGAATAATGATAAGAAATCAATGATAAAACATGAGCAGCATTTTTTTAAGTACTATTAATATATTTATATTTTACATAGAATTAATATCATCTCTAACAATAATAGAAAGCATCTTTCTCTAAACTTCTCCTTTTATTATATACTCAATTTATTCATTAATTAAAATTCTAACCATTATTTCATGAACAATATATGTAAAATTTATTGCTTTACAAGGTTCAAAATCTTAAAAAATTGCAAAGCCTGCTTTTAAAAAATCTAATTGTTATTGATGAAATCCAAACTCATAAAAGATTATAATAATTTATGCAACACTATCAATTTGAAGAGAAGGTAAAAAAGAAACTAGGAAGTTAGGTCGTTAAAATTGATCAATTACAAATTTTTTGTCTCTTTCCTTTATCAATTAAAGTAATCGATGAGCTAATCCCCATTAAATATCTGGTGTTACTTTTCTCCATCTCAAATCAAAGATAACTTCCCAATAATTCTAATATTATATCTAAATATCACTTCTATTTATTGCATTATAGGCTCTATGTTTGAATCTATTATCTCAAATATTTTAGTAATTAAATCGCTATAAAGAACAAATTAATCCATTTAAACTTTATCAAAATCAACAAACAAAATATCAAACATTTGCTGTACATTCTTAAAGAGAAAGTCAATTGCAAATGGATCATTCTCTCTCAAATATTTCAAAAATTATTCCATATTTAACATTATTGATAGATTAGATTAACTGTAAGCAATAATTTCTTGAATTTCGTTCTAAGAAGAGTTGTTTGTTAAAAGCATTTAATTATTTAATTACGAAAATATAATATAATTTTTTATTAAATAAAAATTATTTATAATAATGATAGAATTAAAGAGTTTTTTATTCGAGAACAATTATTTTTTATGAATAATATAATTATCTCCTATGGCTCACCTCAATTAACATTGTTTATATGATGGTCATTAAAATAGTCAAATTTTGGGAGTATGTCTTAATACATAATGTTCAAATAAAAAACCATATTGTCATCACTGCATTTCATAATATCATTCATCACATGTAAATGATTTAAAAAATTATGAATAACTTAAGATTTGGTCTAATTAGTTAAATTAAACCTACTAAGACATCTTAATTACATCTAAAGCAATCTAGAAGGAATTATAAAATTTAATAGACTAAATGAAAGATTTGTATGTCGATCCTAATACTATCTTTTCTGAATTTAATATTACAGAATTAGAAAAACAAGTCTTTAAATTGATGAGCATATAATAATTATAAAATTCACCTTTATTTGCAAATCTCCAAGAAATCAACTAGAAGCTAAATTTAGCTAAAAAAGGGGAAAGTCAAATAAAAGGTAGTGCATTATCAATATCTCCCATTCAAACAAATTGTATATCAATGTTAAATAGTGTTTCTTAAAATTCTATTATTTTACTTCCTGCTAATCAAACTGACTTTCGCTTTTCTGAATAGCTTACATTTAAAAGCTTAGCAATTCAAGAGAATGGAAAAAAGGTCGTTTGTACAGGAGTAGAATGGGGTTTTGCAATGTGTGAACCAGCAATCCCTAAAGAAGGAATTTCAAGATTTGTTTTTTAAGTAAATCACAATAATGTATGTAATTTATATGTTGGTGTTTGTCATAAAGATAAAATTATTTAATCAAATTACTCTCCTATTTCATTTTAAAAATTAGGTCATGGAGCATACCTTATATTTAGCACTGGATTAGTATTATCTCATTTATAAGCTGAAATTAACTTTTAATTTAAAGGGTTCTCATATTCAAATAATGATATTATAATTATGGAAGTTGATATGAATTAATAGCAAATTATATTCACTCATTAATAAAAGCAATAACAAATTGTAAATTAATTTTAAATATTTTTAGGTTATGAAATTAGATGTGACATAAGATCTACATCCATATGCAGAATTATGTGTAAGTTCTTCAATTTAAATCCTTTAGATTTGATTGATAATTATTACAATATAAAACAAGCTATCAATAGTTATACATTTTATTTATATAAAATTGCAAGAAAAAGATTTTTATTCTAATAAAAGATAAATGTATATATAATTATTTATGTTTTCATAAAATAAATTAATTAAATGGATTATTTCAATAATTTTATTAAGATCTATAATGTATTTTATAAATATATATAATTTTCACAAATTTTACTAAACAAAGAAAAATAACTTAATTTGTTATAGTAATTATAATTTTGATTAGTTTTAAAGATGACAACTTGTTATTTTAAGGGATTGATTCAAAATATTATAATATTTTTCTTGTATTTTTTATAGGTTAATTAGTTTGAGTTTCTTATTTTGTGATGAAAATTAATTAGATAAATAATTTGCATCAATAGTTGTGAACTGATGATTGCTGCTGAAATTTTATCCGATAAGGTATTAAATATGATAATATCATGCTAGCCAGAAGACCAATATTAGAGACTAGAGAAAGCTGTAAATTAATTCATGTATAATTTATTTAGATGATTGAATTGTTTAAATATGATAATTTACTTAACAATGAATACCTTGTTAGAAAATTTGAGACTGATATTTTAAAACCTGATTGGTATATGCTATAATATGTTGTTGTATAAAGAGAGAATTCAATTAAAAGTCAATATGTGTAAAATGAATTGAATACTCGCAAGAAATATCATTTAATTTTAACAGATGTATTAAAGAGATATTAATATTTAAGATTTTAAATAAATATAACAAATAATTATGGAATTTTGATCATCAAATGTTAATCATTCGTCCTTATTTTCCAACAGAGAGAAAAAGGATATAAATAAAAATACCAGTTTTGAATGTAGCTCTCATTAAAGAAACACTTTAAAAATCTGGCTTTACTAAAGAGGAATTAATTTATGAAGAAGACATTTATTAAGCTGATAAAACATATGTAAAATTAATAGTTACATCTTAAACTGAAAATTATGCAATAGGAATTTTTGATTTTTTGATGTCAAAAAAGGCAGAACTTCAAATTGATTCAGTAATTATGTAAAATGTTGATTATTTGGATGAATTTCATAAATAAATAAATGCTAAAAAATGCTCAATGATGACAAAGAAGATCGAATAATAAGACAATGATTAATAAGGATTTAAAAGAAATGATTAATATGAAGAATAAGATAAAGAATTTGATAGATCTTATCAAAAGTCTAGAGCAAGAGGTAATAGACCAAGAGGAAATTATGGATATTATAGAAATGAAAAAGATGATGATAGACATGAAGAGAAATATCACAATAGAGATAAGGGAGATAGGAATGAAAGAGGAAATGAAAGAAATGAGAGAGGAGGAAAAGATAAAGATAGAAGAGGAGGTTAAAGAGATAGAGGAAATAATGTATATTATTTTAATTAATCTTAGTAATATGTATAAAAAAGTGATGTACATCATTAATAATAATAATAATAATAGTAATAATAATAATAATAATAATAACAATAATATTAATTAATACCTAAAGCAGTATTATAAAAGACACCAAAATAAATTATAAAACCAAATGCTTTGAATGCAAATGATTTCCCTGCTCTAGATTCTGAATAAAAGAGCTGAGTTATATGAGTAATAACTCTATAAAATTATTTTATTATTCAACGTAATTTTTCTTTTTAACATCTCATTTTTAATAATTTAATATTATGAATCATAGAAAGAGTTTATCACCGTTTAGTGAAAAAGTGAGAGTTATTTAATTTACTTGTTTAAGATTGGAGTTCCTTTACCCATTAGTTATTGAACCCCTAAAAGTGATAGTGTGTGAAAAACATACCTTCATTGCTAAACCTTAAGATCAAAGATATGCAATTGTTAACTAAGTACAAGATAACAAATTATCAGACATAAGCTATTGAAGTTTTTAATCATAAAATCAAAATTGAAATCTAAAACTTAGGGACTTCATAATTAGATTTGAATACTTACTAGGCCTTTTCATTAGAAAAAGTTCCAATTTATGATAAGAAAAATCAAAAATAATTGATTGGATTTCTATGCTTTAAGATAGATGAAACATCTAAAAAGACTACTCCAAATGCTAGCATTTAAAATTCAAGAGAACAATCATTAAGTAATTCAATAAATTAAAATAGATTTTGGTTCAAATTTATTTACCATAGCATTTAGTGATTAATCATAACAATAAAATTCTAAATAACACAATTAAATTTAAAAGTACTCAAATGAAGAAATTAAAAGAAATATTGATTAAATTGCACAAATATATGAAGAAATGAGTAGAGAATAAAATTAATTATTATAACAAGACTTAAAATTAAAGAAATTAGATAATGAAATCAAAGATTTGAATTAATAATTAAAGTCTTTACATGATTAAGAACATCATTTAGATTTATAATTTAAAAAATTGTAAACTCAATCTCCTTAGTTATAAATGTTAATTAATCAAAAAATATAATAACAATATTCAATACTAACTTTTAAGAAAAAATAAGAAAATCCAATTTAAAAATAATCACCCTCATAAATAATAAGAGTAGATTAAACTAGTTCAAGATAAAAAAAAACTAATGTTCTTCCATAATAAGTAACAATTAGTTTAATTGAATAAGAAAAGTTTATGAAAAAATAAAATAAAGAACCTGAAATTCCTGTCAATATGTCTATACCATTTTCTTTTAATGAATATTTTAGTTTATTCAAAAATTGATTCTACTTGAAGCATTAATTTATTTTTCAATTTTAACAGCACAATATAAATAAATAAAGGCTTAACACATTTAATTATTAGAATATTATACTACTATTAATATAGCTTCATGCACCAATGGCTAATTTAGATCTAGCAGCCTATTTTCTTGATTAACGAGCAACAACTTTATTATTTGCTTCTTTCTTAACATTTTCATCTCTTTCAGCAGCCCATATTTCAATGTGTGCATTAGATGATAAGAATGCTATTAAAATAAATCATATAACTTACGATTGATTCTTCCGTGTGCTCTGTATGTTCTACGTCTACCTTTTTAAGCTCTATTGACTTGGACATGATTGATAATTAGTTTTTCGTTGCTCAAATTCTTGACTTAAGCATTAGCAGCCAAATTTTACAAGAGTGATAAAACAATTCTTACACTCTTTTCAGGCCATCTACCTATAATGTATATTATATATATCTATACCTTATGATCTGCCGAATTCTTTGGCTTAAGCTGTTCTGCCTACACCTCCATTAAATCTGGTAAATGGAACACATCTCTTATGCTATAAGACATCTTGTAAATATTTAAGCGCTTAAGCAAGAGTTTATCTTTTAAGTGCTCTGGCTACTTCATAAGTATTCTTAAAGTGAGTTCTTAAATCACTTGCCTTAGCCTTAGCGGACTTTTTAGCAACTGCTGGCTCTCTAGCATATTATTTACCCATTGAATCCTTTTTTAATTAATTAAATTTGTTTTTTCAAATTCATTATTAAATGGAAATATGATAAATAATTTTATTGTTAAAATAATGATAAGAGGCACTTTTTTAAACAGAAATTTAAACAATCATCACTATTTAAAGGATAATATATTGAATAATTCATTTCTAATGAAAAATTTAATCTATCTAATAAATATTATTAATTTCTCTAATGAATAGTTATATAAAAATAGTTCAAATAGTCATTAAATTTTTTTATTTACTTATATATTTTTTTCATGCTAATCCTTGGTTTCTTCTGATGTTATATTTGTAATTGACTTCTCCATCGTTTTATCCTTTTAATTACTCATATAAGAATCATAATTATAAGAATATTGAATGCTATCTATATTTTGATCTGTAATGAGAAAACTAGTTTAACAAGCAATATTTAATTAATCTATAGATTGTGATTTTTTTCTTGATTCTAATTATAATTTTCTATTTTCTTCATATTCTATTATTGAATTTTCATTTCTTGTTTCACTTCTTTATGGTCTTTCTATAACCTTGCTTGATTTCAAGATAGGTGAGTAACCTTTTCTTTACTATTTTGAGGCTGAATTCTGACTGAATTTACTATTCGATTTTTATATTGATGGTAGAATGACACTATTATCATTTGAAACCAAAGCATTACAAAATTTATTGCATAGTTGTTATTCTTTGGTTTTAGCACTTAGTTAATAAATTAATTTATACCTTTGTATTTCTTCTATTAATTCTTTTTCTTATTTTTTTAATTTACTTATTTCAATCAGCTTTTTATTAAGAATTACTCTATTCATTTCCATTTCTTATAATTATCTTTACCTAACTTCTTTTATTTTTTTTTCTTAATATTATGCCCTTCTTTTGGTTACTTCTGAATTGAATTCTTCTATCAATTTTACTCTCATTTTTTTCTGTTAGATTTCCCACATTTTTGATTATTATAATTAGGTTTCTGTTTTTAACCTTTCATTTCTTAAATAAATTCCTTCTTTCTCTACAATTGGCTTAAAATGCTCGATTATCTATTTTCTGTCTAATCCAAGTTATTCTTATAATTATGTAATTGGTGATTTTTAGAATTTAGGAGAAATCTATCTCAGATCCTTTAATTTCGTCTATAATAGAAAATTCTTTTAATCAATATCTCTTAATTAAAATTTCAAAGAATTGACTCTTTTTTTCACTTAATCATATTCCTGAGTAACTTATACGAAACTTTGCTAATTCATATTTATTAATAAAATTAAAAAAAAAATGAGATGTAATAATTTCAAATCTTTTTTTTCTTCTTAATTGATATCAATTTTAATGTTGGCAAAATTATGTATGAATAGATTTTTTTTTTTTAATTTAGTAGCTCAATGTTTCCTAATTGATTTATGTCATAATTAACCAACATATTTTTTCAAAATTGAAGTCTATTTTGTCTTTAATAGTGATAATATCTCTATCTTATGTTTGACAGAACATAAATTAGATAATATTATTTGATTGAAATTGTTAAGATAAATCTAATTGAAAAATTTTAACTCATTTTTTTTATTATGTATATTGTAAAATTATAAGATTTTGTGAATTAGTTTAAGGAATGCCAAAATTTATAAAAGGTATATTAATATATAATATGAAATAATCACACGAATACCCCTTTTTATCTACTTTGGAATTTTTTAAAATTATTTAAAAGTTTTTCTTCCTAATTATGGGATTATAAATTATCTGCCTAAGAATGTTCTTTACTTTTGAGAAGATATTTATTAGAAACAAAATCTCTTAGTTTTTGATTTTATTCTCCAATATTAATTCCTTTTCTACTTAATGATCTTTAAAAAGTAGCTAGCTTTTAATCAGTATTAACACCTCTAATTTATATTGAACCTAATCCATTTTATTTATGATTAATTTTATCATATTCTTTTTCAAATTTGACCATATGATAGCCTATATTCTGACATAACTATTTTATCTCTTAAGTTTATACATCATCCTTTATATCTTTCAATTACATAGAAATAATAGTTATATTGTTGTCTTCCATTTAAATGCATGGTTTAGTATTATTATTGCATTATGATGGACTCTATGATTTTTAAGGATAATTCATCATTCGTCTTTTCAATTCAGAAATATGTTATTCATTCTATCCTTTGGGTCTAGTTTTAACATTCTCTGTTTTATTTAATCGTATTAATTCTTATTGATTTTTGGAATAATTTTCTTTTTCTCCTTTTGAGAAATTAATTTATTTAATAGATTGCCTCCCCTAAGACTTTGATTCTTTTGAAGAGAGAATTTGATTGTCATCTTGTAAGATTAGTTTATTAGGATTAATTATTTTTTCTTTAGTAGATTGTACTACATGTTAGTTTTTGATAATTTCATTAAAATCATAGTATGGTCTTTAATTTATAATTTTAGCAAAATTATCTCCACCTAAAATAGAGGATACATTCCTTTAATTTTGCTTAGCATGCCTTACTTCACTACTAGTAGTTTAGTAATTTGTTGTGATATCTGTTTTTGAATTAATTTATTGAGGGTCCCAAACCAATAACTTTGTAGTATTTGAAATAGATCTTGGTCTTACTTATTTTGGTTAATCTTAATAATTAGGATTAATCACTCTTCTTGAGTCTTAATATTGCATTAATATATTCAGTTAAAATTATCATTAATTTATGTTTATAAAAGTTGTTGTAATTCATAATAATAATAAAATTAATGTAACATGTAGATTACGATCATTTTCTTCCTTAAGACCACTCTATCATTTTATATAACTTCACATATTTTGACAAATTACCATCTTTTAAATAGCATGCTAATACTTATATTAAATTAATTTACATGAAGTATTAGTTGAAATATCTTAAAGTTAAAAATCTAATTCATCATCTTCCATCATCTCCTCTAACTTAGATTTCTTACCATCTTATGTCTCAAGTTTCTTATCTTTTTCAGACTATTATACTTTAAAGAGATCAGCAAGGTCTTATTCATCCTCTGTTTTTTCCCTAAATATTAGAATATTTAATACTAAAGACTACGAGAATAATATTAATTGATTAATCTCTCAATTTTTATTTAAGGTAAATCTAAATGTTATTCAGTCTTTTCTATTGATTCAAATTCTATGTCCAATTAGACTTATTCTTATTATTCTTTCTTTTTATCAAATTATTCCTTTTCTTTAAAATCCTTAGTTTTTATATCTCCAATTGGAATCATAAAGGATTAGGATAAATCTTTTAACTAAACTAATAATGATTAATATTACAGTATACAAAATGCTCTTAGCCTAAATTGCTGTTTCAATTGGACATATTATAGTGACTCTTAAAGTATTTTATTTTTTCATTAAATCTTTAGCTTAATTAACTTTCAATTTCAAATCTTGCATAGTAATACTATGACTTAATTTAAAATGTTGATCATTTAATTTTTATTATTCCTTAATCTTTACAATATCATTCATGAATTTTGATGCAAGTTCATCAGAGTAATCACAAACTTTACATAAAGCAGGTTTAATTTCTTAATTTATCATAATTAAATCTTATCCCAATTTATCTGCTTTTTTTCTTGCCTCTTCACATGCAAAAACACCAATCAATTTATTTTATGAGTCCAACAATCTAACATCACCAAAGAAATTAATGTCTTCATTTGCTAAACTAGGTTTGATTTTAAGTAAAGTAGAAACTTTATTTATGATGTTGGCATTAAATTTATACTTTCCAAAACAATATATAGGCACCTTTCTAAACATAATTTAATTATATTATTCTTAAAATGTATGAATCATAAACATTATCGAGATTTACATGTTAGATAATGTAGTATACTCATTCATTAATTATAATTTCGATATGTGTATAATATTTTATATTCACCAATATGCTCACTTAGCTGTATTTGTAAATAAAAATAAAAGAAAATTTTTCTTTGAGATTTGATATATATAAATATATAGTTAATAATAGTTCAGCTATCGTAATGAATTCATTGTGTTTCATACTGACGTGTAAAAATTCATCATTAATTAAAACTTAATTTTATTATTAAAAGAAGTATGAAATGTTTTTTGAATTTAAATATTGAATTTAGAGTACTTTTTCTAATTTTATTTGATTTTTTTATATAATATATTTAGTATTTTGAACATTATTACTTATGTAAACAACAGAAGTACAATATTATACTAGAAATTAAGGAAACTTAAATATTAAGCACATCTCCTAGGATGAAAATAGATCGATTTGTCAGCACTTAAGCTGTTGCAATGAGATCTATTCAAAAAGCAATAAAGTAATTTTGAGATTCATAGTAGAAAATAAGACTTGTCTTTTATTCTTGGTTCTTTTAATAATTATTAAGGAGCATCATAACAATAAAATGAAAGTGTAAGAAACTTTATGATTTTTAGTTATAACTGTTTTAAATGGAGGAAAAAGAAGTACATTTAAAATTAGGAGAACTCAGGAAAGAATTTGATACTTACCATACATCATCTCTCTATAAAGAAAAGGAGATATCTCAATTCAAAGTAGGAAAAATGATTATACAATATAGGATCAACTATTAAAATTGAATTTGGAAGAGTCAGAGTTATTAAATAATACATCAGAATTAACAAAAGAATTAGAATGTTCAAAGTTGGAATATGTTTAGGCTAAATAAAGATTTGAGGAAAGTTAAATGAGTGAAAAATCCTATAAACATGTTATTAATAGATTGAAGCATGATGTTTTATGTTTTAGAAAGAAATTAAATGAAATGGCTGATGTATTTGAAAAGAAGAAAGCAGAAGCTAATTAAGCAGATGCAAAATAATGGTAATCAATGCAACTAAATTAAATGACAAGAAAATTATGCGATGAAATGATGAATGTATTTGTCTATAGAGATTTAATTAAAATAGAATATTGAAATTGAGAAGAATAATAGACAAAGACAAATAGCATAATATAACAAATAAATTAAGGCATAATTAATAGCAAAAGAGAAAAGAGATGAAAGAATGATTAAATAAAGAGAAATAGCTGAACATGCTAGTAATGATAAGGATGCAAGTGAAGTATTTAATTATATAATGTTTTTAATAGAAAAAATGGAGAAAATTATTATTAGTTCATAAAGTAGTTCATTCTTTATTGAAAAATAAAATGGAGAAAGAAATGGAGAAATTTTAAGTTGTAGAAACAGCATTCTAAGAAATTAAGACTGCTACAGGAATATCAGAAGCATAAGAGATAGTTTAAAAGTTTTTAACAAAAGAAGCTACATATGGTTAACTTTTAGGAACTATAGCAGAGAATGAAAAGAAAATTGATCATTTGAAAAGGAAAAAAGAAAATTTAAGGTAGAATAACTATTAATTGTAGAAATAAATTTTAATAATTAAAAGATGAGGTTTAAATTATGGAAATGAGTGCTAAACCTTCAAAAAAAGGAATAGATTCAGAAATATATAAATAATTTTATAGTATTGATGATAGAGCAAAAAAAGCAGAAATTATGAAATAAAAATTATATGCTTGGAGTATTAAAATGTTAGGCAAAATAGAAAAAGCATCTATGTAATTTTTAGATGAAAGAACAAATTATTATCATATTTATCCAAGAGGAAAAGATGTTGAAGTATTTGAACAACTTTAAAAATTAATATTTGATGATATAGAATAAGCTAAACCTGAAGTAATTTAAATTATTATAGAAATAGGAAATATTGTAAATAATTGGAGAAGTTAATAGATCCAATATTAGAAATGATACATTAAAAGAGGAATATTAAAAAAAAAATGTTAGAATTAAATATAAAAAATTAACTTAAAGAGAAGCACTTAAAAGAACTAAATCTATGGATTCTAAAGCTGATTTAAGTAATAGAAGTTTTAGTTAATTTGGATAATCTAGTGATTCAAGTGCAGAATAATCATATTATGAATCAGAATCAGAAGGAAATACTGTAGATGAAAATAGTGAGAAGAACCATTTTAATTATCTAAGGGATGAAGCAAAATAAGTTAAAAAAACAAAGAAGAAAGATGATGGTTCAGAAGGGAAGAAATGATAAAGGCATTATTAATCAATTTATAAAATTAATTTTTGAGTTTATTAATGAATCACTAAAAGGAGAGTGATAATGATGATGTAATTACATTATCATTTAATGTAGTCTGATAGAAGTCAATAAAGTTAATCAATTTAACAGAAAAATAATGAAAGAAAATTAAGAAAAATCTAAAAGTTATAATCTCTAATCAATAAACCATTTTATTAATTGACTTAGTAAGAAATTAATAAAAGAAGAATACTATCAAGAGTATCTGATCTTATTATTAAAACAACTAATGCACCTTAATTTCTATAACCAATTAATCAATAGTAAAAGAGTGATCATAAATTTTTACTTAACATTAATCATCTTTAAAATACATCAATATCTAAAATAACTTCAAATATAACAGATTCTGAAAAAGATTATGTAGATTATTTGATGATAAAAAAGTGTAATCTAATATATATATATAAAATTAATAGAAAAGTAACAAGATTAAATCAGAAAATAAATGACAATAAAATAAAACTTAAAAGAAAATTATGATTAATTATGGTAATAACAAGAAGATTTATCAGATAAAGAAATATAAGATAATTTTAATGTTAGTAAAGCATTGAATATAGTACATAAAAGTGAAGTATAGAAGGAGTTATTATAATCAGGTGAAAGAACTTAATTTGGTAAGAACTCCAACTCTGTATAAAACAACTCAAATTTGTAATCTTTAACTAATTCAAGATTAATTTTAATGTAAGATCAAGATATTAATGAAACTGAAGTAAATTTCAATTTTAATTTAGTGTAGAGAATAATAGGCTAGAAGAACACTTAAAAAGATGAAAACAAAAAAAGTTATAAATATTGTTTAAAAAGCTACTAAAAAAATTTATAATAAAAAAGAAGAATAAATTTAAAAGGAATTAATTATGCATTAAGTTTATAAATAAATGAATAAAGATAAAAAAAAGGAGAGTATAAAATCTATAGATAGTGTTTTTAGAAATTGTAAGAAATTTATTATTAATTTATTAGCTCAAAGTGAATAAACATTTTTATAATCTTAAAATCATTAAAAATTGATTACAAATAAAATACTAAGTGAAAAAACATTTTATTAACCAAAAAAATTATGTGAAATTAAACCAATATAGAGTAGAGTTTAATTGAGTCATATTATATAGAAATAAGACTCCAGAATTGATGATACACCTCCTAAATTTCAAAGTAGAAAAATAAGTCTCATTAATGATAAAATTACTAATTTAGTATCACAGATTGATTTAATCTAATAAAAAGAAATTGATTAATTAACATTTATAAAATAACTAGAAAATGAGCAAGATCTATATTAAACTTATAGGTAATCCCTTTAGCCAGATTAAATTTAAGATACATTAAAATCACTTTTGGGTCCAAGTAACAATAATTATCGAAAACCTTTTAGGTTTAGTAATAAGAAATTCTTTAATTAAGTTTTATGAAATTTTATTTGTAGATTTAATATATAAATAATGGTAATCATTAATTCAAATTTATGAATCTTTTAAAAAACTCTTTTTGATTTTATATATATTTAATTGTAAAAAATAGAGTTTTAATTGTATGATTTAAAAATTATNTTTTACTTAACATTAATCATCTTTAAAATACATCAATATCTAAAATAACTTCAAATATAACAGATTCTGAAAAAGATTATGTAGATTATTTGATGATAAAAAAGTGTAATCTAATATATATATATAAAATTAATAGAAAAGTAACAAGATTAAATCAGAAAATAAATGACAATAAAATAAAACTTAAAAGAAAATTATGATTAATTATGGTAATAACAAGAAGATTTATCAGATAAAGAAATATAAGATAATTTTAATGTTAGTAAAGCATTGAATATAGTACATAAAAGTGAAGTATAGAAGGAGTTATTATAATCAGGTGAAAGAACTTAATTTGGTAAGAACTCCAACTCTGTATAAAACAACTCAAATTTGTAATCTTTAACTAATTCAAGATTAATTTTAATGTAAGATCAAGATATTAATGAAACTGAAGTAAATTTCAATTTTAATTTAGTGTAGAGAATAATAGGCTAGAAGAACACTTAAAAAGATGAAAACAAAAAAAGTTATAAATATTGTTTAAAAAGCTACTAAAAAAATTTATAATAAAAAAGAAGAATAAATTTAAAAGGAATTAATTATGCATTAAGTTTATAAATAAATGAATAAAGATAAAAAAAAGGAGAGTATAAAATCTATAGATAGTGTTTTTAGAAATTGTAAGAAATTTATTATTAATTTATTAGCTCAAAGTGAATAAACATTTTTATAATCTTAAAATCATTAAAAATTGATTACAAATAAAATACTAAGTGAAAAAACATTTTATTAACCAAAAAAATTATGTGAAATTAAACCAATATAGAGTAGAGTTTAATTGAGTCATATTATATAGAAATAAGACTCCAGAATTGATGATACACCTCCTAAATTTCAAAGTAGAAAAATAAGTCTCATTAATGATAAAATTACTAATTTAGTATCACAGATTGATTTAATCTAATAAAAAGAAATTGATTAATTAACATTTATAAAATAACTAGAAAATGAGCAAGATCTATATTAAACTTATAGGTAATCCCTTTAGCCAGATTAAATTTAAGATACATTAAAATCACTTTTGGGTCCAAGTAACAATAATTATCGAAAACCTTTTAGGTTTAGTAATAAGAAATTCTTTAATTAAGTTTTATGAAATTTTATTTGTAGATTTAATATATAAATAATGGTAATCATTAATTCAAATTTATGAATCTTTTAAAAAACTCTTTTTGATTTTATATATATTTAATTGTAAAAAATAGAGTTTTAATTGTATGATTTAAAAATTATAGTACCTATACACTTATCTAGTTTATATTTCAAAAGCTAATGGAAGTTTCTTATGAATAATATTGTATTCAATTTTATTTGAGTACCAAATATTATTTAATTCACTTATAATACAATGATTTTTCTTAATCCCTTAAATCTATCAACAATTGAATTTAGATATCTTTTTAACTAAAATAAAATTCCGAATTATTATCAGAGAACTACTCAAAAAATAAATATTAATGTAAATCATATTAATATTTAAGATTGCTATTCCCCTTCCTTTGTTAGGTTGAGAAGAATAAAAAAATGATAAATTTTGTATAGATATGTTGTTTTATAAATCAAAATAAAAAATTGATAATTTTTAGGTAATAGATTAGCTATTCAAGTTTTATTTTGTTTCATTTAATGAATTATAATAAAAAATAATATCTGATTGTTAATTAATTAGAATTTCAGTAAAATATTCTATGCCTTTTGGAAATCAAATATGGGATTTATATAACTCCTAGAGAATAAATTAAATAATTAGAAGTTAAAAGATTAAATGAAAAATAAAGGATTGGATAGAACATTTGTACTTTTAATTCTGAAGGATTTAATATTTGTTTTGTTCTAATAGTTTACTTAATATAGCTGAAGGTTTTGATGTTAATTAAAATATCATGACATTATAAGTAAATTAACTAAATCATCAGTTTTTATAAATCCATTATATTATTAGGTGATTTCTGAGATAACAATATCAAATTCTGTTAAATTAAGAACATCTCCTATTTTAGTAATGATTGATTTTATTTCTTTGACATCAATGTAACCAGATTTATTTTTTTCAAATATTTTTAAGGCATTAATTATTTCTTATTTATTTGGTTTACGATTTCTTACATTATAACAAGCTGTTATAAACTATTCAAAATTTAAAATTTATGTTTTTTTTGGATCTAAATACATTCCCAATTCTCTAATTTCAATTGTTGTAACTAGATATCCTATGGCTCTCAAAGCAAACCCTAAATCATCACGTTTAATAGTATTATTTCCAGTTTTATCAAAATAAACAAACATATCCATTATTTGTTTGAGTTCTTAAGGTGTAAATGCCTTTTTTGCAGTTTCAGCATCTACTTTAGTAAATTTTAAATATGGAGTTGATAATTTACCACCTCTTGAGAAATGTGCAAAGTTATTTTGAGTTTTCATAAAATAAATTAATTATTGCTTATTTTCTCAATAAATGCAATATTAATAAGATATTGTGAATAATTATCATTCTATAATTGAATTATATTATAGAGAGGCAGAATTAAGCAATGAAAATAGAGGAAAAGAAAATTAAGCAGCAACAAAAATTTAGTAATGGTATAGAATGCATGTAAAGAGAATTAAATATCTTAAAATTAGATATGTAAGTTTGCAATCAATTTTATTAGAATACAATTTATATTCAAAAATTTGCTAAAGGTTATCTAGCAAGAATGTTAATGAAAAGGAATAGTGATAATAGATTTAATGAAAGAAATCTAAAATATTTTAGCTATTAAGCAACATAAATTCAAAGATATTTTCGTGGATTTCATTATAGAAAATATTACCTAAATTGGGCAACAAGAAAAGAATACTTGGCATTCTTAAAAAGAAAAAATGAAACGTTTTTGGAAGAACTTAAGAGAGTAGAATTAGAAGAGGCATAATAATTAAGAATAAGATAAGAATAATTAGCCAGGACTGAATTTGAGTCTTTGGCTCGTAATTTACATCATCTTTCATCAACAAAATCGATCTCAGGTATCTACAATAGACCATTTGGAAATAGAGATATTGTCTTTGATATGGATGTTGAAAGTCATTTGAAGATTGTATTTCATAGCAATTATTAATGGGAAAAATCATAATAGATGTCAAGATATACAAGAACTAAGAAATTGAGTATGTAAACCAAATTAAAACCTTTGAAATGATGATTATATATTACGTTAAATATTATTAAGAATCTCTATTTTATAATGTTGTATACTTTCATATTTAAAATTAAGGATGGTTCTATAAAATTTCATAATTATATATATATATATATAATAAATATATATATATATATAATTATTATGATTATTTTATTCTTTATTTCTCTAATTACTTTTGTGAACTCCTTATCATTGAAATAAGTTCTATTGGCAATTGATTGTGGAGGATAAGAATCATTTAATTCTAAAGAAGGATATCTATATTAAGATGTATTAACTAATTGTTATTTCAGGATTAATATTTTAGTGGTGATTCAAGAGTATCTGATTACACATATAATGATGTTGTTTATGCTGGAATTGCATATACTTTTACTCCAAGAGTTTATTTTACTGAAAGACATGGCAATTCATTTGATTATAGTATTCCAATAAATAAAGATGGACAATATACAATTATTTTGTAATTTGTTGAAGTATTATATTTAATCAAATAAAGTTATATTTTGAAAATGAGGGAGACCGATAATTTGATGTTTTTATTGGAACAAATAGAATATTACATAATTTCTCTATTATTGATAATAAGCATTAAAAGGGTTATGCAAAGGAAGTGTTTATTTATATTGAAATTAAAGATGATAAAGTTTTCCATAATGATTAAGAATGTAGCAAAGGGTATTAAAATAAAATAATTTTAGATTTGTTAATGGAAAATTAAAAATTGGATTTAGAAAAGGAGCTGCTGATTTACCCAAGGTTGATGGTATAGTTATTGTTAAAGGTCATAATGCTGGAGAAGAAGAAAAAAAATATTTAATTGATAATTGGGAATAAATGTTAGAAGAAAATAGAAAAAAAGAAGCAGAATTATAGAGAGCAGAATTAGAAGCTTAAAATATGATTGTACCTGATTAAGTTGAACCAGATGTATAATATTTCTATTAATATCATATTAGGAAGGTGAAGGACTATTTTCATTCTTATTGTCACCTATTGGAATAGGAATCATTGTTTTTGGAATGTCTGTTTTTGGATTGTTAATATTCACAGGTGAAAACGAAGAATAAAAAAATAAAAAGAAAAATAAGTCAAAATGATTATCTTATTAATGAAATATATGTATGCAGAGTAGTAATAAAATCATATAATGGTTATTTTTAGTATCCATTTAATAATTCTATTTATAAGTTATTTACTAAATAAAAAAAGCATTATGCTGTTTATATAATAATCAAATAAAATTGTTTCTGAAAAAGCATAACTAACTTAATAATTAATATTTACCTATTTCAAGTCTTGTATGATAAAGATCTCATTATTATTTCATTATTTCTTAATTCAATATTTATTTCAACTATTTAGAAAATTCCTATTTTTGATTTCATAATATTAATAATTCTCATGTTTAAACTGATTTTTAATATAGATTATGATTAGATTCTTTCTTTCTCAATTATTTATTAAAATATTTATATTAACTTTTTAATAGAATATATTCATTTTTTCCTTGAACTTCTTTCTCTCTCAATTTATATTGCAACTGGTTTTAATTAAACTGGCTTAGCAATTATTTTTTATTCCATTTTTTCAACAGGTTTTGGTTTCACTTCAGATTATTTGTATATTTTAGAAGAACTCTCCTCTTCAGAAAATTTTCTAATTAACTTAATTATCTAATTATACATAGCACTAATAGTGGGTTAAATTATAAGTCTTGCAAAAAATGATATATGAGATCTCTTTTTACTTCTTAATTATACATAAGATAAATGTAATGAATTAAATCATAATAATTTACATTAATATTTATATTCAAGATGGCAAAACAATCTACATGATATTAATAATCCTAATAATATAGTAAGTTTTTATTAAAATATATATTTTTATTTCTTAAAGATCAGTAAATTTTAAACAAACTGAAACAATCAAAACTTTAGAATGAAAAAAATTTAATCATTATGGAAAAAATATATACGAGGTAGATTATAAGAAGGAAATTAGTGAAAAAAAATTTATTATATTTCATTGCATTGAAGATATAAAATATATATAAAATGAATCTGATATTGAAGAAAACAAAAAAATTAGAATTTTAACATTAAAAAATATATAAATAAGAAAAAGATACAAATATGAGATTATCAAAAATAATAAACTATATTAGAAAATCAAATCTATTATGTAATCTAATAAATCATATTTGATAATAATTGTTGCTTTTCTAAAAGAAAATATTAAGATTAATGAAGTCTAGTCTAATAATATATAAGATAAACAATATCTGTACATAAATGAAAATCAAAATGATAATATATAACAAGCTTTACATAATGAATAGATTTAATATAAGAAAGTTGGAATCTTAATATAATAAATTGATTTTACATTATTATTTGAAAAGCAATTATAAATAAAAAAATGACATAGAGAGAATTTATAAAATAAAGCATTTATACTGAAAATTTTCTTATTATGTTATTATTTAGTCAAAATATGATATATATTTTTAATTTAATGGGGAGTGCTTGCAAAAACATGAAAAATAATCAAGATTTGAAATAAATTTAGATGAATTACAATAAACCATTTAAAAAATTGAAAAGAGCTCAATTTTAACATCCTAAACAAATTCTGGATTTCGAAAGTTCTTATTCAATATGTTCAGAAAGAAATTCATCTTAATTTTCAAAAACCATTGGACATATCAATACTTCAAGTTGTATATATATGAAAAGAGGACATAATAATTTTTTAACTAGAAGAGTGAATAGTACTTTGAATCACAATAATTTAAATTTGCTCAAAAAAGATGATCAAAATTCATAATCTGATTTATCTGTAGAACTGATAGATGATAATTAACTTAAATTAATTATACCTTATCAAACAAGAAGATCTTGGAGTAAAA